ATGCTCCACCTCTGTGGACAGCTGACTGTTTTCATGGAGGATACAGAAGGCGACGAGACCTCAGCTACTCTGTCTGCTAAAGCTGCAAGTGATTCAAGGTCTTCAGTCTCTTTGACAGACGCTAGCACCATTCTGACGTTGGAAGGAAGACGTTGCAGAAACAACTCGCGGAGAAATGATGGATCTGCAGTATCAGCCTTGTCCCCTAGCAATTGCTTCATACGCCGAAGGAGTTGGGAAGGTGTGCCATCCCCTAAGTCCTCAGTGGTAAATAATCGTTGTAATCTCCTTTGCTCTGAAGCGGTAGTGCGTCTAATAAGTTCCTTCTTAAGAGAATCATACGGATCAGTACCAGGAGGGTGTAAAATGAGATCTCTGACTTCAGTAGCGTACTCGGGGGTAAGCGACGCAACTATATGGTCGAACTTGGTTCTTTGGGTGATTATTCCTCGGGTGGTAAATTGGGCCTCGACTTGGGCGAACCAAATTTCAGGGTCCGCCGGCCAGAATGGAGGGATCTTTAGAGTTATGGGAGAAATAGCAGCAGGAGCGGGAGAAGGAGCGCGAGACATTCCGGTGTTGGAGGGTGGTTGGACCCCCCTTCTATTTGGACCGGGGGTCCAAGCGCTCGCGAGTAGTTGGACCCCCCGGTCCATACACTCCCTGAGCGCTTGGACACTCTGTTGATAGGGTCTCAAAAGCGGACGGACGGACGGACCCGCCCCGCCCGAAAAAGGACGGACGGACGGACTGATGCGGACCCGACAGGACCATAAATATCCATGTAAAGGACAGTCATTCGTGGATGTTATCGAAAGTGTAACTTTATCAATGCAAAATTGCTACTACAGGCTGCATAAAGCATCACAATACTGAACCATCATTTGAATTCTATTTGTTATTCTTAACAGGAGTTCAGTGACACCATTTTAATGATTTTTCTATATTATTTGGTGTAAGTCTAATAATAAACATAGTGAAATTTTATGATTAATTTTTATCAGTGCTATTGCATGCAACACTATACTGAGGTACTGATTTCATTTAATTACACAATTAAAATAATAATAGTTTGATATCCTTGAAATCACTCCTCTTTAAAGATAAGGAGACCCTTTGAAATAGTTATATTGAGCTTTAGAATCCAGCCTAAAAAGGAGTTATCCTACGTAATAAATGTAAAAATTATAGTTACTTCTAGTATATTTATTTTTGTCATACCTGGGCTAGGAATGCCACACTTTTTTTGCAGATCCCGTTTCAATGCTTGTAAATCATTGTAAAGAGTTGCTTAGCACTAAGCAACTCTGGTTGCAACGCTAATAGTTATTGTCTTCCACCTATATAAAAATGATATTCCATTTCAATAGCAAATTGTACCTGAAACTGTGAAGCATGAGAGTCATAAGCCATTGCCTCAAAAATTTTGAAGTTATCTAATAAACAATGTTATGACAGAGCATAACCATTACAATAGAATTTATACTTGGACAACATATCGGAACACTCCATCACAACACAGTATGATGTATAGGCAAACTAAAAGTCAATTAATTTTAACAATAACATATTAGATATGCATAATTTGCACAGATAAGCACCACAGTCAATGGAACTGTCTTGTTTGGGTACAAACTGTTGCAATAATAAACTAAAATTTGTAAGTTTGTACATACCACTTCATAGTATGTTTGTATAGTCTGAAAAGTTAAACTTCTGTGTGTGCACCCCTACCTTTTTTCAAATACATTGACAGCACACTATTCA